GTATCTTGAAAAGTTTAGCCTAAATTTTTCAAGTTCGTCGCTTGTAATCCGTGTCAATCTTCTCCATCCTTGACCATCGTTGTTTCTTTATGGTTTTTTATTATCTCTTTGGTGTTTTTCTATCTTATTAAACTGTTATTTTCAGGTTTCCTACCATTTAAAGGTAATTTTGTATGTGGCCAAAATAACTCAAAATACCGTGACTGAGCTCCTTTAATGACAGTGACTGCCTTGGCTGGCGAGATAACAGTTTTAATTTTTCACTGACAATGATACAAACGAAATCAAAGATTGCCGTAGCTGAATTAAGATGAGACATCACAATTTCTTACCCAGGATGCATTTCTGCATGGGCTATCTAATACTTTCAGATCTGTACTCTCAATAACTGTTAAAACTTGTTCCAATTCGATAAAGATGTCCAAAAAAGTGTGAATAGTTTCCTGCCTTTCCGAAGTTCGAAAGAAAACTGGTTTGGTAAGAAATAAACGGCAATCAAGAAAGTTTTCAACTGTGCAGTTTATCTGGGGATGTTGTGGTCTAAAGGTAGGTTTGTGCCCTGGCCGGGAGTCTGAATATCTTATATCCCGTTAATTTTTGGCCCAAATATCTCGTTAATTTAATCTCTCAAAAATGAACAATTTTGCTTTTCGATATCCCAGGATGTCAGTTCTATCAGCATCCCACATCCCACTAATTATTCTCTATCCCGTTAAGTTTTTACTAGGGGGTGGGGGGAAAGTATCCCTGCGATGATGTAGTACCCCATCCAGAGGAGAGGGGGAGTGAAAATACTTCCGATGCTGCCAATTCCGGAATAAGCATATGTTGGCTTGCTGTCTTCGCTTTCTAATCGTTCCGCCTTTTATTTGTTGTACTGTTCTACAAAATGGATAAACTTGATAAAAAACACATTGTTGCAAGGAGTTTTACAAGCCCTGAGCGGCCGAAAGAAAAGTTCTACAAGCTTTATCTCGCTCCTGAGTAACTAGTCGGAAGACAGATTCAGTTTCTTGGGAGCCTTGATTACTTTACTCGTCAGTCCCAGCCCGAGCTCGTTTGCAACGTAACATCATTTTCAAGGCTCCGCGGAACTCCCGTTTACGAATGCAGTAAATAACAGGGTTCCAAACTGACTTGGACAGCAACAAGCCATTGGTGACGAAACCAACAACGACGGGGAGTGAATTGAGAGGAAGAACTTGCCTGCAAAGTATAGCGGTCCAGGCTGGAAGATAGCAGAGCAGATACACTCCAAGCACAACAGCGACATCTTTGGCGGCCTTGTGTTCCCGGCGGCTGTTTTGCTGAGGCTGAGTGGAATGCGACACTTGGGCCTGTTGTGTTATGATTTCCCGCTCGACCAGTGTAGCTCTTTTGAAAACCTTGAAGTTTAGCCAGGCAATTGTTAACAGTGGGACAGCGAAAGCGGCAACGAAATAGACGATGGACCTCGTCAGCTGATTTCTGCTGTGGACATCCCAGCCGTGGCAGATATCACAGTGGTAAAGCCTGGCGCTGAACGAGAAAGTGTCTTCCCATATGGCAAACAACGGACCGGCAGCTGTGGCAAATGGAAGAATCCAAGCGAAAGCCACTAACAACAGGGTCTTAGCCTTGGTTGTGTGTTGGTTGTACGTTAGAGGAGACTTCACAATGGCCAAGTATCTGTCGTAGGAGACGGCAATCAGGTGGAAAGTTGTACAACAGTACAAGGCTCTTGTCAAGAACGTAATCGCTTTACACTGTACCGTCGAGAACTCGAGTTCTTCGTACAGTTTGCTTGCGATGTGAAACGGAACAACCAGGGCAACGATAATAAAATCGGAGACAGCTAAGCTGACGAGGAATAAATACCTCATAACATGAAATCTCTTGTTGATAGAGATTGTGAACAGGACGGCTAAGTTTCCCAGGATACCGAGGGCGCCTATAGCGATCAAAAAGACAGCGACGACGATTCGCAAAGCTAGCATGTTCATTCGGAGGTGAAGTCAAAATGATGGCAACGGACTGTTTAGTTCAACTTTAAACACTCATTTTAGACACTACTCCACCCCCAAAACAAAAGAATAGAAGTAATTTCCGTTTTAATATACCGCGAGATGTTGGTTGTTTTAGCAGACAAAACTGACCGTGTTTTGTAATGTGTTTTCAGCGTTAGAGCATCATTAGGGCTTTGCTGTTTTTGGACTGGTGAAGTAAAATTAATTAGTTGATCTCAGTTTAACAAAGAATTTCACAGGGCACTGTTTCAATTAAAATGAGCGATAATTGGCCATTATTTTTAAGCTTCGCTCACCAAAAGAACCATAAGGCTCCAGTTTCCTTCCAATTTACGTTTGTCAATGCAAGATCACAATGCGTAAATGAGGTTGTTTTAAAACGGCACTTCAACAGATTGATTAAACACCACTAACCATGACGTATTTCACCCCGATCTGGAGTTATAACGGCTACAAAATACCACAAACTGTACCATGACTTGTTAAGTTCTTACATTGAACAAACTAAGATACTCCATACATGTAAAGCACCAAACAACATCTTTCAGTTCGCCGGAAGGGCAACGCAGTCTAGCGAGCTAACGAAAAACAGTCCTCGGTATATATCTTTCTTATTCAAATATTCCTGTCTAATCTGTAAAATAGCCTTTGTGACTATTATAGTAACAGGTTACAAAGGGCCAACCGGAGCCAACTTATTTTGTTTATGGCCAAAATATCGAAATTTGCCAGAGCTATTCAGAGTTGCTCGGATGTGCGCATCACCTTTGAGTGCAACATATGTGAGGTTGTGACAGAATCACACGCACTAATTCAAACACTATTAAGACTTGAAAACTACAAATTCCTTACAAAGAAAAACGTTGTTTCGCCCCTTGTGGTGGAATCAATGCCGGTAGTTTCACTTATCACACATTTCATGAAATCCCTGTTCCACGCGAAATCACGTTTCATGATCACGTCTCCACCAGTCACAGGCTTATAAAATATGTTTGTCACCAATCACACGACCCTGTTTTAACACTCATGTTTTCACGCGTTTTTCGACCACGTACTTTTCCACGGTTGAAACGTAGGAAATCGCTGTGTTACGAATGAATGGCACTTTCCAACAGACGGCTGTTTCGTCGATCACACGTTTCGAACCGCGAGAAACGCTGTTGTTTCACGTGACACTTTCATATAGAAAATCTCTTCCACGTAGATTGTCACATTTCAGAAAATTTTTCACGCGGGATCACATTTCAGAAAAATTTTTATGCGGAATCACACATTTCAGAAAAGTTTTCACGCGGGATCACGTTTCCTAAAATCGCTTTCTCTGCAATTACATTTTTTATAGAAAACCGCAAAAGCACACCTTTTTAGACACTGTCACGTTTCATACGTTTCAAAAAAGCGCTGCTTTTTTTAACAATCACAAAGCGTAGCAGGTGTTTGAAATTCCTCTCCACCTTCCATCTCTTACCAAAAACAAAATTAGTTATACGCTTGATGGGGTGACTTCCAGTTAAAGGGGTTAAGTCACTGAATTTTAGGCTATTTCAGAGCTGACGAATAAGTCAATTTGAAAAACTGTGTAAGAAATCAAAAGAAACGTAGGAACGCCAAACAGGGCCGGTTTGTTAGAAAGCCGGTTAACGCTAACCCAGGATTAAGAGGTAATCGAAGTAATTTTTCTTGTATGAATGTTTTTCACTTCTTGTTTTGTGTAGTTTGAGATTACTCAAGCTTAAAACTGAAGGATAAACAATATAAACCGCAGAAAACCTCACCGAAAAAATACAAAACTGAAATCAAAAATCTCGTTTATCCTGGGTTAGCTTAATCAGGCTTTGAACGACCCGGCCCACTGTATGGATGGGGAACGTTAGAGAAGATAATAAAACGGATTGTATTTGGGTAAACTTTGAGAACGTTGTCCTGACTTTTTTCAAGTTTATCCTAATTTTGTAAATGGAAGTCGAATATGAGGCTAGCAATTTGTGGCTTGCTGCACTTATGGCATTCACTCAAGACGTATTGCGCCAATAATTAAACAATGATCTCGAGATTTCTACTTGGTGATAACTAATGAGGCCGAAGGCCGTTTCAACTTATCAACTCATGGAAATCGAGAACGAATAATCTCATTGTTCTAGTAGAATTCTAACTGAAAGTCCTCCAGTTTTTTGTTTATATATGAGTAGTGTTAAACTTCACGATTTAGCGTTATCTCTAGCGAATTTGTCATTTGAAGCTTGCAGCTGTGTACACGCGTACTGCGCATGTACAGTAGCTCAGCCAATCAGGTTGCAGCATTTGCATGAGTGGACGAGTAGAGGTATACTTCTTGATAATAACCACTTTATTACGTTCACAATATCGATGTTATATTTACGATGTATGTACGTCACGCGATGTATAAATGATTGGTAAAATACATGGATATACCCACTATGATGCTTATTAACACGGTTGTTTATTTACAGCATATTTACACAGTAAGCTAATTCTCTGAAGAAATGCCCCAAAGCCCAAGTCAACGCAGTAAATGGCATTCGAATGCTACAGCAAATTTAAAAGTCAATTTAGCGACGTTTTAAGATAAGATCAACATGAAATGCATATTTTATGCTCAAAGCGATTTGCCAAAAGACTGACGGAAATAAACTCCCCCCTTTCACAAAGGACTTCCTTCTTAATCGCTGTTTCAAAGAAAGGGTGAGTGGCAGGTTCTGTAGAAATAGTTTTGGGTTTGACACCAGTTTACTACCCAGTAGGAATTTATCTCCATTTATTCGCAATGGCTTAGAGAAACGAACAGAGAATGGAACATACATGTACAAGACGAAACAAGTTCAGCCTTTGTTTAGTACATTTAGTTTACTACCCAGTAGGAATTTATCTCCATTTATTCGTAATGGCTTAGAGAAACGAATAGAGAGTTGGACATACATGTACAAGACGAAACAAGTTCAGCCTTTGTCTAGTACATTCAGAGATACGGTCATACCACAAACCTTCATCGATCAAAAGTAGTGCGAAAAATGCCACACGCCATCTGTTGAGGACGGGGAAAATCACTGGAACCAAACTTGATCATTTGATTGGCTGACATCAAGACTGTTAAGTAACTGCAAATTATGCGAGACAAGATTTGCGACTTTAATGTTATTGACCTCAGAGAAAAAGTATGGAAAGTTGGTCACTTTCCGTATGATTTTCGGAATTCACAGGTTGACATACAAACAGAGGAAAACTGGCGAAGAATGTCTAGCGCATAGGATGTCTCTGCTTGTGGCGGGAACCCTGGCTTGACTTCTTAAAACTACTGAATAATCTAAACAAATATATATTATTTTCACTGTACGGATTCTTGTGGCTCATTTGCCTCAGGTGGGTCAGTTGTATCGAGTGGTTCATTGGCTTCGTTTGTATCGAGTGGTTCATTGGCTTCGTTTGTATCGAGTGGTTCATCGGCTTCGTTTGTATCGAGGGGTTCGTTTGTTTCGTTGTCTTCAGGTGGCTCACTTACTTCGGGGTGATCCTGAAAACCAAACAAACAGAAATAGGACGTGATGAATCCACTACACAACATACCATTAGCTCGTCTGTTGTTTAAATTTTCATTAGTAGAAGTATGAAGAGAAAATTCCCAAAACCTTTGCCGCATTGACCAGGCTCTTATGAGGCGCGTGGCGAAAAAAATTTCAAAAATCATTTGCAGCTCAAACGTTTCCAAATACCTTAGCTCTACTAACTAATCTGTACTATACTGAATTATCTATCAATTTAACATTTAATACACTGTAGTGAGAACGCAACTGAACGGCTGTTAACACTGAATAAAGAATTTGTTGTAAGACGCACCTTTTATACGACGCTTTAACTTCTGAAACGAGGACTCCGACTTGACAAATGTACCTTCTTTCTGAGTTACCTATCACATTTAACTTGTGTCGTTAAAACTGAACTAATAGCCTATGCTAACTATTCTGTACTACACTACATCACCCTCCCCTCCCTCTTTACAAACTCCCTACGGACCCTTCTCTACCCTATCCTTAGTAACGTCTTTCATCCTCCACTGACTTCTCTTAGAAAAGGTAAACCTATCACTATTTCATTCAACTTTGTTTGTCAACTTTTCTCTCATAACAATTCACCTTCATTATTGTTACATTTTTCTAGGGTTCCCTGAGTAAATTTTATGTATGCTCCCTTGCAACCTCTGTGCAAGCTCCCATCAGTACTTACGACCCGTTAGCTTGGCGCGAAAAACGACGGCCGGCCAAGGCGACTATATAAACTGAACTGTAGTTCGGACTGTGCAATTTTCATTGCCAAATTGATCGAAAATACATTGAATATTTGTACTTGTCTAAGTATTTGGTTTCGTAGATTTAGCACTACCTTTCAGTACCGATATTTAACCTTTGTACCGTTACAATTGCAGCGAATACACACCATAGTCGAATATTGAAGTGAAAGTGTAAAAATGTTATCGGACGAAGTCTCTGGCCCCGTTTATATGTCCGTACAACACAGCGCGGACGACATCCTTCACTACCTTACTTTCCATTGTAAATTTACCACAACTTACAAATTAGTCTACAATAAAGGCGTTGTTCTTTCCATGGTGAGAGGAATATGCATAAAATCTAGCATTGATATGTAAAATGGAAGCTTCATGTTTGACATTTGAGTTGGCTAACATGTATTCACTTTATCAAAACAGACAGACAGACACAATGAAGCATGATTAAAGTTAAAGCTCAGTAGCTTATGGCGTCGTGCATAAATAACAACAAACCCATAATTTCAACACAATATTAAGACCTACCTGCTCACTGTCTTCTCCTTTAGCTTCCTTATTCTCCTCAATTTCTTCTTCTTGTACTTCTTCACCTTCATTGTTGTTAACCTCCTCGTCAGCATTCGCTCTGTTTTCATTGTCTTCGGCTTCATTGTTGTCAACCTCTTCCTCAGCATTGTCTCTGTTTTCGTTGCCTTCAGCTTCAATTTCTTCATCCGCCACCTCTTCAGCTGGCATTTGATCAATAGGTTTGTCCTCTTCAGTTTCTTTAACAGATATCAACAAGAATGTTAAAGTGTGCTTTGCCTATCAGCTTCCACAGCAAATAATATCCATTGATATGGTGCCATATTTTTATCAAAAGAACGGCATCTAGAGGAACGTTTTTCTTATGATAGAAGTTCAAATAGTTCTGCCTGGCTGAAAAACCAGTTGCCCTCGTGTTGAAAATGTCAATGAAGCCCCTGAGTTAAACATTGAATACTGATTGTTGTCCATAATTTATACATTGTAATGTGCATGTTATTTGTGCACTTCAGTAATTACTTCTGCTGAGGACTAGAGATTTATTTTTGTATTGTTTTCTCTACAGACATGTTTACATGCCTTAAACAAGAGCACAACACTTAATTCAACTCACCTTTGTCATCTTGGATTTCTGTCGCGTCTTCTTTGTTCTCACCACTAGCTTCATACACAGATGGCTGCACTGTTAAATGAGTGAAACCGTAAGTTGTCACCACCTTCTATGCTCCTTTCATATATGATATCTACTAATCCACTACACATTTTTATCGCTTATTTACTAGTAATGTTTATGCTTCCTGTACAATACAGCTGTGAGTTGTTTTCAAGCCCAGTGCATCACATGGGGATATTCTTTGTTACCTTTCTTGGATGAAACTTACGGTTTTACTCTCTATGCCCCTTCCCTGGAATTCACTGATTGTCCTTTAAAAAAAACACCAAGGTTGTGGACCAGTGACAACACTGTAGCACCATATTCATAGCGCTCAGAACACCCTACATGTACATACTGACAAGGCATAATTCATATCAAATATAAACGGCTTACATGTAGATTCAAGCCTCTACTTTACATACCATCAGCTGAACTGTTTCGTCTCTCCTCATATGACTTATCTTCTTTGTCATCAACAAGCCCTCCTAGTGTAACACCATGATCTCCAAGAACATCAGCAACCTTTTCTTGTATAGTGTCCTCAAGTGGTATGTCTTCAATGTCAGATTGATGTGGTGAGTTGCTTCTTTCTGCAGCATAAGCTCCCTGTGGTTCATCGTCATCTCTCAGCGACTCTGTGACTGTTTCTTTGAATGAATCAAACAATGACTGTGGTTCTTCTTCCTTGACAGGTTCAGGAGATGAATTTATGTCCCTAAAATCCCTTCTGGTAATGTCTGCTTCCAAACTGGTGATCTGATGAATATATATAGAAAACATGGTTAGTTTATTCTTCCAGAAGTCCTTCTATTTTGACAAAATTCTAAACGTAAGGCCTCACAAACAAAACGGCCAAATTTGAGAGCTGAAATTCCTGTCTTCTAAGAAATCTTTTATCCCTTGCAAAACCATTAAACTGCACAGAAAAATTAAAGTTCAACTTCCAAAAAATTATAATGATAATAAAGAATGCAGTTCAACTTATGCTAATGGTGAAGTTTTGAGGACAGAAACAAAAGCAAAAGAAACAATAACCACTCTTGTTAAATTTCCTTAACATGTCAGTTCCTCTAGTCATTATGGCTGTAAACAAAACAAATGCAACACAACATTTGGCACAAAAGGGGCACAACACTCCACGATCAACATCCCTGACAAACGACTGTCATTGCACAATGATACAGCCTTGCTTTTCTCTGCAGTGCACGGATATGCACAGGACAAGTTGTGGACTGGTCAAAGACTTAGAAAGATAACTGAACAGCATTAAAGAAGGCAGCCTGGTTGAGTGGTTTAGAGCAATGGTCTTGTAATCCAGAGGTCCCAATTCAGGTCATCCACCCTCCCC